TCCCGTTGGCCCGCCATTGCTGAAGACGATGTAGGACGCTTCTGAAAAAGTACATGCTTCCTAAGGAGCTGCTGCCTCCTTCCCTCCTGGCCATTAAGTCAACAACCTAGCCAAGAGGCTCTGGACCAGCATGCTAGGGGAGTGTGTGAGACCTGCGCCAGCCAGGGGGTCAGGTGAGACCACCTTTGGGTAGTGTGAACACGGAGAGACACGGCACATTAACTAGTAATGGGATTGGCTACCGAGGAGTAAGGAACTGTAAAGAACCCAGTCAAGGCCGACACGGAGCAGCTCCTGGAGATTGAGTGTTGAAGGAAAAAACGGAGTGACTTGGCCAGCTGACATGCACTAGCCTGCTGCCTGCTGTCGCAGCACAAGCATCTGGGGCTCTTTAGTGAGTGGCCGTGGGCCGGGGTGGAGGGACCCAGCCGTCTGCGCTCACACTCACTGCGGCCAATCCAGGCACACCAGTCCAGCCCTCCAACACGCCAAATGCGGAGTCCCCAGTAATACTATCCTTTGAGGGAACAGTCACTTGGTGGCAAGTTGACAACACAGCCCTTTGTGCCCCCAAAGGTGATTTATCTTGACTGGAATCGACACGTTACAGGCGTGGGTTTCCCTTTCCTGTTTGCAGGGCGTCAGTGAGTTTCTCTGTCCACAGCTCAGAGGAGTTGATCCACTGATGGTCCACAAGCATTACCTTGAGCGTGGGGCCCTGCCGTGCAGCCAGGGAGCTGCTCTGGGCACATGACCAGGGGACCCATGTGTTCTTTCAGCCACATCCAGAAACACCACCCTGACAGGGTGGCATGGCTAGTGGCAGGCACAGCTTGGGCACCAGCACGAGGCAGCAACCTCCAGGGCGCAGTACTCTACCTCAGTGACCGGTACAGGGGCCGTGTCCCCGGCACACGTAGTTAAGGGGCCTGCAAACCAAAAGGTAGATGTGCGCGTGCTCCTGCCTACCATCACTGCCAGTGCTCCAGTCAGTGACTGTGTGTCTGTCCTCCAGCACCTCTGGCTCCTGCACATTTAGTCTTGGCCGCCAGGGGGGGACGCCCTCTAGGGCGCACATGAATACCGTGCAGTGCGAAGCTACGGCTGCTGCCCCGTCACTTCGTATCCTCATACCAAGAGCTGGTAGGCAGGCACGGAATCTGCCTCCCGCCTGTTTGCTTCCTGGTCGCTAGAAGTCAGGGCTGCGGTTACTTGATGGTGGGGGGACGCTTACCCGTGGTGCCGGGTGATAGCACTAGTCACTCTCTATCTCCTCTCTAAACCTGAGGGCAGATTCAGTGACCCGTGCCTGAGGAGGGTATGGTGACCAGGGGTTTGCACCTCTCAGGGATGAGGGTTCAGGAAACCATCGGGGGAGCTGTGTACACCAGCAGAGGTGCTAGGCCAGGGTGAGGGGCCTCTAGAATGGGTACTAGAGGAGGGACACAAAGATCTGCAGTCTGTCCCATTAACCTTGCTTTTAAAAGTTTCCCCCAAGGGGCGCTTGGGTGGCTCATTCGGTTAAGCATCCAACTCTTGAGCTCAGCTCAGGTCATGATCTAACGGTTCATGAGTTCGAGCCCCACACTGGGCTCTGTGCTGATGGTGCAGAGTCTGCTTGGGATTCTGTCTCTTTCTCTCTCTCTGCCCCTCCCCTGCCTCTTTCTCTCTCTCTTTCAATAAAAATAAGCTTTAAAAAGGGGCGCCTGGGTGGCTTAGTCGGTTGAGCGTCCGACTTTCGCTTGGGTCATGATCTCGCGGTTCATGGGTTCAAGCCCCGCGTCGGGCTCTGTGCTGACTGCCAGCTCAGAGCCTGGAGCCTGTTTCAGAGTCTGTGTTTCCCTCTCTCTGACCCTCCCCTGCTCACGCTGTCTCTCTCTCTCCTCGAAATAAATAAAAATATTTAAAAAAAAAAATAAGCTTTAAAAAAAGTTTTTAAAAAGGGGTGCCTGGGTGGTTCAGTCAGTTGGGCATCTGACTCCGTTTCGGCTGGAGTCATGATCTCTGGTTTCCTGGGTTCGAGCCCAGCTTGGGATTCTCTCTCTCCTTCTCTCTCTGCTCTCCCCGCTTGTGTGCACACACACTCTCTCTCAAATAAACACTTTTTTAAAAATAAAAAACTAACATTAACGTCAAAGTTTCCCCCAGGAAGAGGCGCACTGGAATCCTGATGGAGCTGCTTTCCGAGCGTGTCTGCAGTGAGCGACTGTGAGCCGCACGGGAGCGCGGGGTAGGGCCGCAGTGAGCCCTGTGGGACCCGGCCCCCTGCACCAGCGCTAGGCCAGTCAGCACCCCAGCTGCCGGGAGCGTTGCCGGCCGGCTGCTTACAACACAGTCTCTACCCGTGGCCGCCCCAGCTACACACCCCCTTCCCAGGACCGACCGATCCAGTGACTGGTTGGTGCTGGGATAGAAAGGCCCAGCTCCCTTGATCCAGTGGCGACAACTCTACAGGCCATCCAGGTCCCGAGCAGGCCTTTGTAGTGACTGCATCTTGGTCCCCCTCCGGTCATGCTTCCGTGTATGTTGAACCTGAGAGCACTCCCCAGTCACCTTTCCCAATGCACACCTTCATCTCAGAGTCAGCCCCCAGGGACCGGCCCTTGTGCCAGTGGGCGTCTGTAACACACTTGCGCACGTAAATGGGGAGGTGTGGTCCTGGTTTCAAAAACAGGATCATATTGTCACAGATTTCTGCGTGCATCTTCAAGGCAACCAACAAAGCTCTAAGTCATTCTTTTCAGTGGCTGTGTGCTTCATGGTGTGGATGGTGCTTAATTTATTCGAGTTCCCTCTTGATTGGCATCTACTTTGTGTTCAATCCTTTGCCATAGAGCAATATTGCCGCAGATGTTTTGGTTTAAACCTATTTACTGTTGCATATATTTCTGTGAAACAGCTAGCCAATAGTGATGTTTGGTTAGAGGATTCATACAGTTTGTATGTAAAACGTTTATATATATATATGCATATATATGTATCTGTTTTTATTGAGGGTGTGCACTCACACACACACATATTCACACAAAACATATTCCTAATTTAGAACTCAGTGTTTCACAAGTTTAACAACCCTGTAACCTTCACCCAGATCAAGAAACAGAACATCAGTAGCACCTTGGAGGCCTCTCTTTGCTACCTGTGGGTCTGTCCTTTTCTTCCCAGCTCCCAAGGGTGATGCATGTATTTTTAATTTCACTAGGTTTTGAGAGGTTGTTTTCCAAGAAGATTCTAACTATTCACATTTGTACCAATGCCTGAAACTACCTCTTACTTCCATTTCAGTTATATTTGTTTAAATTTCCCTGACCAGCAGTGACTTTGGGTATTATAGCATGTGTATTTGCTCTTTGGATTTGCTAATCTGTGCATTGCTTCTTCCTATCTTTGCCTCATTTTTTATTCTTATTAAAAATATTTTTAATGTTTGTTTTTGAGAGAGAGCATGAGTGTGGGAGGGTCAGAGAGAGAGGGAGATACAGAATCTGAAGCAGCCTCTAGGCTCTGAGCTGTCAGCACAGAGCCCGACGCGGGGCTCAAACCCACGGACCATGAGATCATGACCTGAGCTGAAGTCAGATGCTTAACTGAGCCACCCAGGCGCCCCCTCATTTTTTTAAATTGAATTGTGTTTTTTTGAAGTGTATAAGAGCCTGTTGTATAGCACAGATATTAACCCCTTATGATTTTTGTTCCAAATGGTTTTCCCAAAGTATTATTTTCTCTTAGAAGTGGTGCTACTATTCCTATTTATTAATCTCTTTTTTCCTACTGAATTGAGATACCATCTTTGTTCTGTAGTAAAGTATCATAAACCTGGGGTCAGTTTCTGAGTTGTTTATTCTCTTCCAGAAACTTTTTGATTATTCCTATTCAAATGCCATGTGGATTTGATTGCAGTGGCTTTTATAGCATGTTCTGATAATCTAGCAGGGCAAGCCTTTTATTTATTTAGTTTTTCACTTACCTTCTGGGTCTGTTTTCAGATCTTTAGTATTTCATGTGCTTTGACATTATTTTTTCAATTAAAAGAGCTCCGTGGGCTCTCTAATTGAAATTGCAGGAACTTTATTTTTGGAAGAGTTGAATATTTTGTGCATATCTGGATGCCGTGTCATTCCATTTGTATAAATCTTATTTTATGCCATCTTAAAAGATTTTAAGTTTTCATCATTGAATGCCTCATGCCTTTTTGTTGAATTTGTCCTGAGTTATTTCTTTTGTAAAGGTTTCCCGTTTGCATGTCTTGGTGGTTACTGTGGTTGTGGAAGGTCAGAAATCACAGTGGTTATGAGCACAAACACCTGAGTCCTGGGTTTGCCAGGGGTTTGGGGTGGGCTCCATCACTTACTGATAAGCCCGGGCTTATTAAAATTGAAACAAAATTGAAAACAAGTTTGTATTAATGATGTTTTAATGAACCTCTAACTGTTTCATTGCAATATTGCTTATAAGAATTTCCTCAGGGTACCTGGGTGGCTCAGTCGGTTAAGCCTCAGACTCTTGATTTCAGCTCAGGTCATGATCTCACGGTCAGTCGTGAAATCAAGCCCCATGCCTGGCTCCTGCTTAGTGCAAAGCCTGCTCAAGATTCTCTCTCTCCCTCTCCTTCTGTCCCTCCACTTTTCACACGTGCTCTCTTTCTCTCAAAAGAAAAAGAAAGGTAAGAATTTCCTCAAACCTTTAATACTTTTAAGGTTTCCGTAAAATGTTGAACTTGGGTTTTCTGACTCAGGTATTCAGTGGAAATGCCAAGTAATAATTTCTGATAAGCATTTCATGATTAGGTGGATCTGTGTGTAGTGAATTTGAAGATATGTTACATATATGTTTATTGTGGCGTGTGCACTTTGGGCATGAGTTTGACTACATTGTTTTACCTCAGGAAATAGTAGGGTGCCCCTGTCAGGAGGGCCACTCTCTGTTTAGCTAATCATATGACTTAGATGTCAATGCTTCGTTAATGCTTCTCTCACGTTTCCTGTTTGTGTCTTTAAAAGCTGCAGAAGTGGTGAACAAATCCCATATTAAGTGTTCAGTACTTGAAGATGGGAAGAATCAATCGCTGGAAAAGAGGGTAAATCATTGCAAACATGATTGATTCTAAATAGATCACTTTTCACTTGTCCAACACATGCTCTCAAGTGTCTGCGTGTGCTAGACACTGGATTCCACGCTTCAGAGAATAACGAACTGAGTCCTTGTCCTCCAGGGGCTTATAGAGGACCTGCTTGATGGGGGATGGGAAGACAGAAGCATGTCAGGTGCCACGGAAGGAGTCCGTCCCGAGGACAGCGGGAGGGACAGCTGGCCCGTTTCTGCCCTGTCTTGTTTAGGTTTTTCTGGGTGGTGGGGAAAGTAGTCTGAAGAGTGAGAAATAGGCCTGAGAATCAGGACATCTGCAGGGTGATTAGGAGCCGGTCAGTCTAGAGCCCCATCTCTGGAGAGTGGGGGAGGGCTTGTCTGAAGTGTTCAGGTTAGTGAGAGAGCTGGGGCTCCGGGGCAGCTGGGATACAGAGCGGTTCCGGAAGGCGGGGGACACCAGTCTCGGGTGCGGTGTGTGATGTGGACCCGAGGGCAGGCGTCCCAAGAGGTCCTATCACCAAAGGCCTGGGACGGGAGACACAGCGGCCAGGACAGTAGACTAGGGAGCAAACCACCTGTGTGCAAGGCCCAGCCTCAGTCTAACTTAGACTCCGTGTGGTACAATGGGGACAGCGGGACCTGCTCGCGAGTGGGCAGGCTCATTGTCGGCCCTCAGGTGGAGGGAAAGGCAGCTGACTTCTGATGGGGTGGGGGGGGCAGCCGCCTTTGGATTTTCGGAGATTCCCTCCCAGCCCTGCTCCCCCGTGTCCCCTCTGTCGCTCAGGCAGGAAGCCAGCTTTCCCTTAACAATGTTTTGCTTCCTTTCTTGCAAAATAATTTTGAAAAGCCATATACCTGATGATGTGTTTTTAAGTTAACATTTAGAATATCCATAACAAGTTTAAAATGTTTCACAGGACATGATTTCTAATGTATTGATAATTTTGACATTTTAAAAATGATTACATCATTGCTTAAAAATATATCTACCAAAATCTAAATACTGTACTCTGGTAACTTAATATCCATAAGTATCCCTTTAAGAGTGACATCTGTAAGATATTCTTCAGCAATCCAAATTTTTATATTCCCTTTTGCTCCTCAAACTCCTTTTCTTTTTTCTTTTTTTAATTTTTTAATGTTTATTTTGAGAGAGAAAGAGATGGAGAGGCAGAGAGAGAGAGAAGATCCCAAACATACTCTGTGCTGTCTGCACAGACCCTGACATGGGGCTTGAACTCACAAACTATGATAGCATGGCCTAAGCCGAGATCAAGAATCGGCCACTTAACAGACTGAGCCACCCAGGCGCCCCTCAGATTCCTTTCTTGCATACTCCTCTGAGTATGCAAGAATTGTTAATGTAATATAATTTCATGCTTAGAAGTCTTTTCTTAAAACCATGTAATATTTCTTTGCAATAAAAATGTGAGTATAAACTTAAATTTTTAATTTTCTGTGACCATATACCAAATATTGAGACATTTTCCTTCAAAATTATTTTTAAAGTACTATTAACATATGTTTGTTCAAAACAACATAAGTATATCACAAAATATGAAAAATAAATGTTATTCTAAATGAGTCCAGTACTGAGATAGAGATGCTCTTCTCCCCTCGGTCTGTGAATTTGTGAATGGAGGTTGCACGGTGCTAGACAGAGACAGGAAGAGGGTTGCTGCCAGGCTGTGTCAAAACAGAATTTAGTAGCTAGATGAACATGTTCTCAGATCATTGTGGTGATGGCACTTTGTAAATGGCCTTTCCCTGGAAGTCGTAAACTAGGCATCTTCAGTCTCGCACGTCTGCAGGGGACTCCTGTCCACGGCGTCTCTCATTACACACACAGGCAGAGCAAGTCCTGCCCATTCCAGCCCGTGATTCAGATACGCGCTCCTGGAAGACACTACGTGGTTTCATTAGGAAGTTTGCTCGTAGATAATGTGACTCTGTGTCCCTAGCTTTACCCTAGATGAGTTCTACGAGGAATTAGTTTGCTTTATAGATCTCTTAGGAATCCATATGCTAGTGAAATATTTAATGTTTTTCTACAGGATCTAACTTCTTTTACAAGCTGGACGTCACAAGCTTCCATCAAGCCCTGTCTTCAGCCCTCCGGTGTCGGACTCTTGAGCCAGCTGTCTGCTGACCCCGACCGGAAGAGTGTCAGCTCGCCGGCCGCTCCTAGCAGTCTGCCTGCACTGTGGAAGCAGGAGGCTTCGGTTCTGCAGAAAGAGGAATGTAAAAGAAAACAATTCCTAAAGGAAGATATGAATAATGAAAAAAGAGAAAACGTGACTCTTAAAAGAAAACATGGTACACATAAGTTTTCAGGGAGAGCAAGCAAACATGTGGCCTGGGAAGAAGAGGCTGCTGAGGTCAAAGCCTACCTAAACTGTGGGAACCCCAGAGCCTGCGGAAACCATTTTTGTGATATTAGGTATTTGGATGATTTGGAGCAAAGCCAAGTGATGGAAGTGCTCCAGGAGGCCGAGGCCCTGGTGGTGACGCTGATGTATGAGGACGGCTCTACCCAGCTGGGAGGGGCCCGGGTGAGTCCGCAGCATTGGGTCTGCTGGTCAGCTCCGCTTCTGCGCCACCGCACCCCCCTTATCTCAGCGTCTGATCTAGTAGGAGAGCTGGGGAGAAGATTTGAGGCCCCCCTGCCCCCCAGTGGTGAGTGACTGAGAACGTACACTCCTCAGGTGTCCGAGAAACCGCCAGTGTTTTCCAGAGCGGGCGCACTTGTCTGCGCTCCAGCAGCACCGGACGGGGGCCGGACCCTCCGCCTCCTTGCTGGTGCGGTTGCCTGCTGTCAGCCGTTCTACTGGATGTAAAGTGAGGTCTCACTGTGGCTTTAAACTACAGTCCCCTCGTGACTAGTTACATGGAGCACCTTCTCTGTGCTTCTCGCCATTGGTGTATCTTTGGTGAAATGTCTGCTCAGATCTTTTGCTCCTTTTTTAATTGGGTTACTCATATCTTATTTTGCATCTGTAAGCATTCTTTCTGTATTCTGATACAGGTCCCTTGTCGGATCTGTAATTTGCAGCTCTCCACATCTGCGGCTTGGTTTCAGTCTTGCTGGTGTCTTCTGAAGCACAACATTTTTAATCTGATGGACTCCAATTTATCATTTTTTTTCTTTTATTACTTACACTTTTGTTGTTATATTTAAGAATGCTTTGCCTATCCCAGGTCTTGAAGGTTTACTTCTGTTTTCTTCTAAGAATTTATGGTTTTAGGGCCACCTGGGTGGCTCAGTCGGCTAAGCGTTCGACTCAATTTTGGCTCAGGTCATGATCTCCTGGTTCATGAGTTTGGGCCCTGGGTCAGGTTCTGTGTTGCCAGTATGGAGCCTGCTTGGAATTCTCTCTCTTCCTCTGCCCCTCCTGTGTGCATGCATGCTTTCTCTTTCTCTCTCAGAATAAATATATACATACACATGTATGTACACATATACATATATATACATATACATACGTGTATATATTATTATATATAAGAATTTATGGTTTTAGGTCTTACATTTAAATATCTGGCTGAGGGGTGCCTGGGGGGCTCAGTCGGTTAAGTGTCTGACTTTGGCTCGGGTCATGATCTCATGGTTTGTGAGTTCGAGCCCCGCATCGGGCTCTGTGCTGACAGCTCAGAGCCTGGAGCCTGCTTTGGATTCTGTGTCTCCCTCTTTCTCTGCCTCTCCCTGACTCACACTCTGTCTCTCTCTCTCTCAAAAAATGAGTCAACATTTAAAAAAATAAAATAAATCTGTGGCTGATTTTGAGTTAATTTTCGTGTCTAACGTGAGATAAGGGCACAAATCCACCCACCTGCCTGCATGTTGATATCCAGCTTTCCCAGCACTGCTGCTAAGACTCTTCTTTCCCCATTGGATTTTTTCGGCACTTTTATTGAAACTCAATTGACTATAAGTATAAGGTTTTATTTCCAGACATTCAGTTCTTTCCATTGATCTATATGCCTGTCCTAATGCCAGTACCACACTGTCTTGGGTACTTTAGCTTTGTGGTAAGTTTTGAAAACAAGAATTGTGAGTCTTCCAACTTTGTCTTTTTCAAGATTGCTTTGGGTATTTGGGTTCCTTCTGCATTTCCATATAAATTTTAGAATCAGTTTGTCAGTTCCTTCAGACACCCAATTGAGACTTTGATGTAAATTATGTTGAGTTTATAGAGGAATTTTGGGAGTTTTGCTATCTTGACAGTATTGAGTTTTCTGATCCATGAACAGGGGTGACCTTTCATATATTTAAACCTTACGTCTCTTCCAATAGTGCTTTGTAGTTTTCTGTCTAGTGTACAAATCTTGCTTTACCTGTCATTTTTGAAAGTTTTCCTCACTAAAGAATTATAAGTTGAGGGGCGCCTGGGTGGCTTAGTCGGTTAAGCGTCCGACTTTCGCTTAGGTCATGATCTCGCGGTTCGTGGGTTCGAGCTCCGCGTCGGGCTCTGTGCTGACTGCCAGCTCAGAGCCTGGAGCCTGTTTCAGAGTCTGTGACTCCCTCTCTCTGACCCTCCCCTGCTCACGCTGTCTCTCTCTCTCTCTCCTAGAAATAAATAAAACATTAAAAAAAATTTAAAAAAAAAATTATAAGTTGATCATTTTTTTTCTTTTCACCAGTTTAAAGATGTGACTGCACTGTCTTACAGCTTGCTTTGTTTCCCACAGAGACCTGCTGTCACACTTCTCTTTATTCCTATCCAGGTGAAGTCCCTACCCCACATGCCTGCCCCCACCCCACCTCTTTTAAGGTTTTCTCTTCATCCTTGGTTTTAAGCACTTTGATGATAATGTGACATGGTGTGGTGTTCTTCATGTTTGTTGTACTTGCGGTTTATGGATCTGGGTTCCACAGATTAAATCGGGAGAACTCACATTCCCTTGGGGAGTTTTGTGGTCCTGAAGCACGGTGTGTCTATTTGTTAAGTCTTCTTTGATTTCTTTCATCAGTTCTTCATAGTTTTCAGCATGCAGATCCTGTGCATGTTGTTGATTTCTATTTAAGTATTTCATTTTTTGGTATGGTTATTATAAATAGTAATACATCTTTAAAAAGATCATTTTACATATTCATTGAGAGTGCCTGAAAATACAGTCAATTTTGTGTTTTGATCTTGTATCCTATACCCTTGCTACCCTCATATATTAGTTCCAGGAGTTTTTTGTAAATTCCTTTGGGTTTTCTACACAGACATTTGTGTCACCTGTAAATAGGGGCCATATTCTTCCTTTCTGATTCATATGCCTTTTATTTCTTTTTCCTGTTGTATTACACTGGCTAAGATTTCTGTTGTGATGGTGAATAGAGAGGAAACCAGATTTGGAGAGTAAGATCATGGGCTTAGCTTTTTGCTAAGAGGGGTCTTTATTTACAAATTAATTTTAGGCCTTTTTTCTCTGCTTAATTATCAAGCCTGTCTTTCTTGAATACATGCATTGTTTATGTTTAATTTTGAAACTTTATTTGTATCTGCAGGCCCTGGTTTCCTCTGTTAAAGGCATTGTGATGTCCGTGCAGAGCCGTGCGGTTGGCAGGGGTCCCCTGGAAGCCTCAGCCGCTGGTGGGGCCCTGGAGGAAGGCCCCCCACTCAGTGCGCAGTGCATCTACATCGAAACGGGGCGCTCCTCTACTGGGGGCCGAGAGCAGGAGGCATATATTCAGTTTGCCAGGTCAGACATCTCCACTCACTGCCCTACATCCGACTTCCGTGCCTGCTTCAGTCTGATATAAAGTCTCCCAAGATCCAGTTTTAATTATTTAAACTTTTAGAAGTTTTGTTTGGGCATATGAAAATAATGTGAAAAGAAAATGGATCTAAATGACAGAAACCTCTGCAAACACCAGCCTGCTTCTCCCTGGAAAGTTTCTGGATTGGGGATTCCCTCCTTCCATGGGAGCCCCTCCAGGACTTGAATCACTATCTCAGGGAGAAGCCGGGGAGGAAAGCATTGTTCCAAGGCCTGAAAGCCCAGTCATGGCCAGAGTCCCAGGCGATTTTCCTCATCACGTGCATTCACTCACTCACAGTGTTAGAAAATCAAGTTACCCCTGTATTCCAAAAGTAAATTGTCCTCAGTACCACCTAATTTCATCCTAATTTCAGAGCTTCACTCTGTGAGAATAGTTAAAACATATCTCACTTGGATGTACCCTTTGAGAATCTTACAATTTGGAACGAGCAGGGTTGCCTGTCCGGTCCTGAAAAGTCCTGCTGGGGCTCCCGCCTGCGCCTCGCCACCAGCCGCTGTGCACGTTGTCAGCCTGACCGCTTTCTGCCTGGGGTGGGGATGTCCACTTCCTGTCTGCCCCGCCCTGGAGTTCCGGCCCCATAGCTGCCTGGCAGGAGCTCCTGGAAGGGGGGCTCACGGCGGGGGGGGCAGAGGGGGAAGGGAGGGAGGGAAGAAGGTGGCGCCTGTGCCTGGGCCTTTCAGCCGCATCCCGTCTCACTGGGCCGTGGCGGACTTGTAGGCAGTTGTGTCCGTGGTGTCTCAGCCTGGAGTGCCAGGGGCCAGTGTTCGTTCTTACGGTCACAGGACGCTGTTCAGCCAAACCACTGGGGACCTCTGAGGAGCAAGAGTTATTACTCACGGGTCCTAGAGGGTATGTGGCACTCGGGGGCACACAGCCAAGTCGTAGGCAGAGCAAGAGAGGGAGCCGGCCTGAGGCTCTGCCTTTATTAGGTTCTGAGGATGGGGGCTTGGGGTTCCAAGGGCTCACTCTTTATTGGCTCATATAAGCTATAAAGGTGGGAACTGGGGTACAGCAAGGGAAAAGCAGGCTCACTCACAGGCCAGTTATCCAGGTCACCCTGGCTTTTCTGGAAGGGGACCTTCACAGGTGGGAGTGGCCTTGTTCCTTTTCTGGTTGTCTCGCTGGTGGCTTGTCGTACAGCTGGCAATACGGACGTTCTTTCAAAGTGGTCGCCTCGGCAATCAAGAGCCTGATGTCCAGCGCTTGCACCACAGTAATTTTTGGTGTGAATGGGATAACCTTTGACAGACATAGCGGTCTGCTCACAAGAAGCCCATAGGCTTCTTTTTACATAATTTTCTTCTGAAAGAACAATTAGGCAGGCCCGTTTCATGGAAGGCTGCTTTGAGAACAGAGGCCTAATATTTGGACGGCTTTTCTGAATTCTGGATTTGTATACCCTACTGTATATGCCACTTGCACATGTGGTAGTCACTTCAGCCTTAACACGTGTCACCCTGAGGCCTGGTCCTCCCTGAAACCTGCGTCCTGCGGCGTGTGTTGTCCTGGCCACGTCAGCACTTGCTGTCCCTGAGTCTTAACATTAGCTTTAACTCCCTTCTTCTTTTCATATCCTACGTCCAGGCTCTTAGCAAATCCCATTGGCTCTGCCTTCAAAATACAGCCAGTAGCTGCCTTTCTCTCTTCCTCTCTGCTGCTGCCTTGACCTCCCGACTGAACTGGGCGCAGCGTACCTGAGTGGCCTCCTGCCTCCACCTGCCCCTCAGCCTGCTCTCCGCACGGCCCCCCAAGCAGTCCTGCACACTCGCCGCCCGGAGAACCGCCCGCAGCTCCCGACAGTGCCTGCAGGTCCGCCCTGGCCCCTCACCAGGCCCGGAGCTCGCCCCCTCTCTCCCTGCTCTCCCTGTGCCCCGGGCTCCTGCTGTATGCAGTGTGCTCCCCGGTGTCTGCGTGACTGCTGCCCCATCCCCCCAGCACGCAGCAAACATGAGAACATGAGAGTATAATGAGCCCCATCTACACACCCACCCAGACCAAACAGTTACCATGGGTTTTTCTGTCCCTCCTTCATCTGCCCCTTCCTGAGGGGACGGGTGGGGGGCTGCAGTTAGGGAAAATCCAGACATGCCGTTTCAGCTCACAGGGCTTAGGATGCACATCTAAAGCAGCTGAGCTTTTCTTTACGTGGCCACAGTGCCACTCCCAAACTTGACAAATTTAATACTCAGTCCAAATAGGTTACCTGATTATTACTATTTTTTTTAAATGTTTTATTTATTTCTAGGAGAGAGAGAGAGAGCGTGAACAGGGGAGGGTCAGAGAGAGAGGGAGTCACAGACTGAAACAGGCTCCAGGCTCCAGGCTCCGAGCTGGCAGTCAGCACAGAGCCCCACGCGGGGCTCGAACCCACGAACCGCGAGATCATGACCTAAGCGAAAGTCGGACGCTTAACCGACCAAGCCACCCAGGCACCCCGGTTACCTGATTATTTTTAAAAAACGTCCTTCTACACTTGACCTATTGGGATCAGGACCGGCAAGGTCGTGCATGACATTCCTTGTCTCTTCTGCCTCTTCTAGTAAGAGCATCCTCCGACCCCTGACCCTGCCCTGCAGAAGGTCCCACGTCCTGGACTCACCTGTGTTGTCATTGTGGGTTCTTTACCTCGTTCCCCTTTCCCCCACACTTTTGAAAACTGGGGCTTGGTTCTCTAAGTCCGTTATTCAGCTCCTGGTTTTTTCACGAGAGCACTTCCCTGGGTGGTGCTTCCTCACACCCTGTCCGTGCTGCTGGTCAGATGTACCAAATAAAAGTGCAGGATGCTAAGTGTGAATTCCAGAGAAACAATTTTTTTAGTATAACTATGTCCCATATATTGCAAGACACATACATCTCCAAAAAACATTTATATATTTTCAGATGCAAATTATTGACTGTTTTTCTGAATGTCAAATCTAGCTGGGTAGCCTGTGTTCCCTCCGGCTGCCTCTCGTGATGCAGCCACGGTTCCTCACGTCCATGCTGCTCAGGTGGAGCCGGGGGTCCGATGACGTCAGCATGATCCCTCCGCTTGTCCCCTTAGTGACTTCATCTGCCATGAGCGTCATCGGAATCACTTTTTAATTATGTCTGAAAGATGGTGCTTTTCCATGTCTATCATTCCTTCCACATGGATTGGGTAAGATTTTTCATAGAGAACTTTCATTCTTCAACTGGGCGTTTTGTTCACTTGATCCCTCAGGTCTTCCCTGAGGTGTTACAGCAGGGTCAGTGGCGGTGGGGGGGGGGGGTCCTACCCACCACACACAGCAGTGCCCCCACACCCCCCGCCCACCGCTAAGTGTGCTGCACAGTATGTACAATACCGCCCTCTCTGTACGTCTGGCCTCTTTGTTTCCTGTGGATCTGCCCCCACACTTTCTACAGCAGCGTTTCATGTTTTGTTCATTCTTGTATCTCCACATGCCACGAACAGTGTGACAGGGCTTGTGGTTAACAAGTATTTTTTCAGTATTAGTCTTGAATAAGTGAATATGAAGGTGTAATTTTGTAAGTTGCAAGACAATTCTATGAAGACATAGCCTCACCATAAAATTGGAATTAATAATCCAATTCTATGATAGTATGTTTGAGATTTAAACTTTTTAAAAAATGTTTATGTTTGAGAAAGAGAGGGACAGAGTGCAAGTGGGGGAGGGGCAGAGAGAGGGAGACACAGAATCCGAAGCAGCTTCAGGCTCAGAGCTGTCAGCACAGAGCCCGACGCAGGGCTCGAACTCACAAACTGTGAGATCATGACCTGAGCCGAAGTCGGACACTCAACCAACTGTGCCACCCAGGTGCCCGTTTAAGATTTAAAATGAATTTTGGGGCGCCTGGGTGGCTTAGTCGGTTAAGCGTCCGACTTTCGCTTAGGTCATGATCTCGCGGTTCGTGGGTTCGAGCCCCGCGTCGGGCTCTGTGCTGACTGCCAGCTCAGAGCCTGGAGCCTGTTTCAGTCTGTGACTCCCTCTCTCTCTGACCCTCCCCTGCTCACGCTGTCTCTCTCTCTCCTAGAAATAAATAAAACATTAAAAAAATTTACCAAGTTGCAGGGTACAAAATCAACGTACAGAAATCGGTTGCATTTTTATACACCAATGATGAAGCAACAGAAAGAGAAATCAAGAAACTGATCCCATTCACAATTGCACAAAAAATCATAAAATACCTAGGAATAAACCTAACCAAGGATACAAGAGATCTGTATGATGAAAACTATAGAAAACTTATGAAGGAAATTGAAGAAGACACAAAGAAATGGAAAAACATTCCATGCTCATGGATAGGAAGAGTAAATATAGTTAAGATGTCATTACTACCTAAAGCACTCTACACATTCAATGCAATTCCAATCAAAATTGCACCAGCATACTTCTCAAAACTAGAACAAACTATCCAAAAATTTGTATGGAACCACAAAAGACCCCGAATAGCCAAAGTAATACTGAAAAATAAAACCAAAACGGGTGGTATTACCATCCCAGACTTTAGCCTCTACTACAAAGCTGTCATCATCAAGACAGTATGGTATTGGCACAAAAACAGACACATAGACCAATGGAACAGAATTGAGAACTCAGAAGTGGACCCAAAAGTATACAGCCAACTGATCTTTGACAAAGCAGGAAAGAATATCCAATGGAAAAAAGACAGCCTTTTTAACAGATGGTGTTGGGAGAATTGGACAGCAACATGCAGAAGAATGAAACTAGGTCATTTTCTCACACCATGCACAAAAATCAACTCAAAATGGATAAAGGACCTGAACGTGAGACAGGAAACTATCAACACCCTAGAGGAGAAAGCAGGAAACAACCTCCTTGACCTCCACCGCAGCAACTTCTTACTTGACACATCCCCAAAAGCAAGGGAATCAAGAGCAAAAATAAACGATTGGGACCTCATCAAGATTAAAAGCTTCTGCACAGCCAAGGAAACAACCCAGAAAACTAATAGGCAACCAACAGTATGGGAAAAGATAGTTGCAAATGACATATCAGATAAAGGGTTAATATCCAGAATCTATAAGGAACTCACCAAACTACACGCCCGAAAAACAAACAACCCAGTGAAGAAATGGGCAGAAGACATGAACAGACACTTCTCCAAAGAGGACATCCAGATGGCCAACAGACACATGAAACGATGCTCAGCATCCCTCCTCTTCAGGGAAATACAAATCAAAACCACACTGAGATACCACCTCATGCCAGTCAGAGTGGCTAAAATGAGCAAATCAGAGAACTCTAGATGCTGGCGAGGATGTGGAGAAACGGGCACCCTCCTCCACTGTTGGTGGGAATGTAAACTGGTGCAGCCCCTCTGGAAAACAGTGTGGAGGTTCCTCAGGAAACTAACAATAGAACTCCCCTATGACCCAGCAATAGCACTGCTAGGAATTTACCCAAGGGATACAGAAATGCTGAGGCATAGGAGCACGTGTACCCCAACGTTCATAGCAGCACTCTCCACAATAGCTAAAACATGGAAAGAGCCTAAGTGTCCATCCACAGATGAATGGATCAAGAAGATGTGGTTTATCTATACCATGGAATACTACATGGCAATGAGAAAGAATGAAATCTGGCCATGTGTAGCAACATGGATGGACCTTGAGGGTGTTATGCTGAGCGAAATAAGTCAGGCAGAGAAGGACAAATATCATATGTTTGCACGTATAGGAGGATTAGGAGGAACATGACGAAGGAACAAGGGGGAGAAGAAGGGCGGAAATGGAAAGGGAGAGAGGCAAACCATGAGAGACTCTTGAATGCTGACAAAAACTGAGGACTGATGGATGTGGGGGGGAAGGGGGGATGGGCATGGAGGAGGACACTTGTGGGGATGAGCACTGAGTGTTATGTGGAAACTAATTTGACAATAAACTATTTGTAAAAAAAAAAATTTAAAATGAATTTAAATAAATCACATTTAAGTTAAAACGCATAAAAACTTTTTTGCACAAAACGTATTTAATAGCATTTATCAAACATCTGTGCAAGGGTGCAAGTTCTCTTTCTCCATCTTCATATTAACTCTATATGTTTGGTCTTACTAATTCTATTTTATAGATGAGGAAACTGAGGCTCAGAGAAATAATTCAGTCTTGAGATTTCAACCCAGGCCTCCTCTTTTTAGACTCAAGTCTAGCTTTTTTATATCCTAGCTGCTTCTTTGTTTGCAAATGTGACATGAGCGACTTATATAACTGACTTAAGGTACACATTGTGTTTCAGCCACTTTGTCTTACAAGTTGCTATTTTTGTTGTCTTATCAAGATAGAAACCCACGCCTGCATCTCTTACTAGTGAGAGATCCTGCCGTTCTTAGACGGCCTTAGTGGGGACTTCTGGGTCTCGGCACACAGGAGCCTCAGAGAGGAAGCACAGCTCTACTCCCATGTGAGCCCCCAGCCCCTCTCCCCTGCTCTCCCCGACGCATCCTCCCGAGTCCGCAGAGCCAAGACCAGAGGCTGTGTTGCTGGCACCCTTCTCTCCCTCCCACCCTGGCCACTCTTCAAGGGAATCCCAGGCGAAATCACACTAGACAATGTGACAGGACTAAAAACGTCTGTTTACGGAGCAAGCTGAGCAAACTCTGACTCTGTTGACATTGTGCGCAGAGCTGAGTGGGCCCCTAGTTTCTTTCTCCCTCAGCCTCTGCAAGACAGACCCTCATTCATGTATGAAGACACAATCCCTATAAAGGAAGACTTCATTGCGGGCCCTGGACGTAGCTGATAGGGTCTCAGAACTTAGCTTTGCCACTCACCGGTTGGGGCACGCTGGGAGATTGGTTAGCCACCCTGAGCCTCAGTTTCCTTGTCTGTAAGGTGGATCTAGTGCCTGCCTAACAGGGTTGTGGTGAGATTTCAGTGTAACAGTCCTTTGTGGTGTTTAGCATAGTGTCTGCTCATGGTTAAGTGTTCAGTAAATGCCATCTCTTATCAGTCCCTTGCCCAGGAGCTCACGATGCAGTAGGGCAAGCAGACTCTCGAGGTAAATGACAGCACAGCAGGTGTGGTCCCGCTGCAGCCTGTTCGTGGACGGGAGTATAGGAGGGACAGCTCCCTGCTTGGGGAAGGAGGTGGGCAATTTGCAGAAATCACACATGGGAGGAGAATCCTAGACAAGAATGCAGCATGTGCCGTGGCCCCACAGTGCGAGAGGACGTGGCACCATGCAGTGGTGCCGAGGGGAGAGCTCAATGTGAGCAGAGGGTGGTGTTTGGGCGCATGCTGGGAGAGCAGGCTGGAGAGTGGTGTGGGGGAGCCTGGGAGGGGCCCAGAGCGTGTACTCTGCTCAGAAAGGTGCGTCTTAGTCTGCAGGAGATGGGGCCTTCCTGGGGGTTAGCTCCCAACCGCCAGGGGGCCATGGGCTCCCCTCCCAGCCTTTCTGTGCCTCGTCTTCAGGTAGATGCGTGAGCCCACCTCGCGGGATTCAGGTTAATCCACGTACAGCTCTTAGAAGAAGGTCTGCACATAGTGCTGTGTAAGTGCTAGCTGTACAAGAGAAGCGTTTTGCAAGGTCAGAAGTCACAAGTTCTAGATCAGTGTGTAAACCGGTGAATTTGTTTTCATCTTCCAGGAAAGTGCTGTTTCATACACTGAAATGTAAATGTCCTGTTATTTGTTTTAATGCCAAGGATTTTGTGAGAACCGTGCTGCAGTTTTTTGGTAATGATGGCAGTTGGAAGCATGGTAAGTTTTCCTTTTCATGATCTCTGAGACCTGACTCTCCAGCAGTGACCCCTCCTGACAGCAGGAGGCGGTGCCAGGCCACCGGCTGGGCCCCAGGGTGAGGGGCGCCTTCCCTCTGTGCTTTAGGTCACTTGATTTTTTGCAAGTGTGTATATTACTTCTGTAGTTTAAAGTTAGAAGTGAGTTATGCAGTGTGGTCAGATGGGATTTGTTGTTACCGCAAATAGCTTATAAACTCCCTAAGAATTAAACCAAAGTCCAGACACACGAAAAGACCTCAACATCACTCATCATCAGGGAAATACAAGTCAAAACCACGATGAGATGCTACCTCACACCTGTCAGAACGGCTAAAGTCACAATCACAAGAAATAATGGGTGTGGGCGAGGACGCGGAGAGGGGAACCTTGTGCACTGTTGGTGGGAATGCAAACTGGCGTGGCGGCTCCAGCGGCTCTGAGGCATCATTCAAAGTGTTAAAGTAACTTGAAAAAGCAATCACTTAGGAGTCAGATTTATCTGTTTATCAGCACCCCCCAACCTCTTATGGCTCCCTTGTCCGTGTCTAAAATACTCTGGTGCTGAAACTTATTTAGCAAATGCCATTTTTATTTTTCACAAAGCATCTTCCCACTCATCTCTCGGATGCGCACAGGCACCTCTTCCAGGGTCTCCAGATGAGAAAACCACAAGTGGGGGCTGTGACTGCCAGGGGCGGCCTAGCGCCCGGTTCTCCTTACACGCCCCATGCATCAGAGGGTCCCTTGGGGTTTTCTGCGCATCGGGGGATCCTGAGTGCCAGGAGGCTGTGCCCTCACATGCATGGCCCCCCTCCCCCGCCAAACTCAGCAATGAGGGGGCATATGCTTCTCCTTCTAATCACAACACTTGGATTCCTGGACACCTTGAAGTGGTGTCAGGGGCTCCTGGAAAGGCAGCGCAGCGAGGGCGTGTGTCAGAAAGCTGGGGAGCAGGGGCGGAGGGGCAGGAAGAGTGACGAGGATTCTCAATGCTGTGTCTCGGGGCATTTTTGAGAACTCCCTGTTCCATGTTTATTCGAAGTGTCTCGGCTACCCAGGTTCCTGTGTGGGACCTGGGTTGTGGAGGCCACTCTTCCCAAAGGTTCAGATTTCCCTAGGAATGGTGGGACGTCCCTTGGCTCTCACCTTTGGGACTTGAGGTGATAGCAGTGCTGGTATTGATCTGAGCCTTGAGGACCTCGGAAGGGCAGAGAAAGGACGGTCCTTCTTTGTACTAAATGTTCTTTTTCTCTCTAGTTGTGCACTTCGTAGGGCTGGACCCCAGAATTGCTGCGTGGCTCATAGATCCTGAGGATGCCGCGCCCTCTTTTGAAGATTTAGTGGCCAAATATCTTGAAAGTTCCATTTCTGTCACAGTCAGCAGCACATACGGGAATTCCTCAAGAAGTGTGGTGGTGAGTTGCGTTAAGATAAGGCTTTACTTGGGGCGCCTGGGTGGCTCAGTTGGTTAAACGTCCAACTTCAGCTCAGGTCATGATCTTGCGGTTCATGGGTTCGAGCCCCGCATCGGGCTCTGTGCTGACAGCTCAGAGCCTGGAGCTGCTTCAGATTCTGTGTGTCCCTCTCTCTCTGACCCTCCCCTGCTCACACTGTCTCTCTGTGTCAGAAATAAATAAAACATTAAAAAAAAAAAAAGATGAGGCTTTACCCGAATTTTTTCCTAGAAATGTTTTCCACTTCATAGGCAGTCCAGTAGTAAAAAGAACATTGCTGACATTCATCTTCACTTATCTTGCACAAGTGCTTTCTAGCCTGACAGTTCTGGTGGAAGGTACTGAGTAAGGACAGGTGACTTCCGTTCCATCAGGAAACTGCACCAGAGAGCCCCTCTTCACAGTGTGATTCTCTAAACGGACCCTCCGGTGTCAAAGAGCCACCTGCTCTGTGACCTGAGCACTGCTGGTTTATAAACTCTTCGTGCTGCTGACGCGGCCTCTGTGGCAGAGGCTCTGCCCCACCTCGGCCCGTGCCCAGGAGTGGCTTTCCCAGCCCTTCCTGGAGACGCACCGTGTGTTGGGAGCCGTGGTGCCTGCTCACAGCCCTGGAGCCCGGCCCAGCGCCTCCCGTGGCCCCACAGCAGGCCCCGCAGGAGGCGGCCCAGTGGGAGCAGCGTGGGCGGCAGTTGGGCCGCTCTGTTCAGGCTTCCTGCTTGTGAATCAGCAGCTGGGTGCTAAAAGCACGGCTGGAAGAGCACGCAGGGTGCTCAGGGAGCACGAGGGGCGGCCGTGGGGTGGGAACCGTGGGGCAGAGCGACTGGCCACGTGCGGCGCTGAGGCTGGGGCAGGCGTGCCGGGGAGCCTCGTCCTGGGCCGTCTGTGAGGGCAGGAGAGGGTCAGATAGGGACTTGGGGTCAACAACGCAGAAACTCACTCGCCCTTTATTTGAAAAGAGACCCACCAGAGGGATACGGGGGCCGGGGGGCGGGGGGCTCACTGATCAGAGGAACAGCAGGAGCGGGCTTGGCAGAGCAAGGGCCCTGAGCCCCGGGGCCCCCGTGAGCCATGACCTCGCATCCAGGTGTCGCTTCTGTCCAAGACTCAGTCTCAGCACGAAGAGCCTCGTTTCCCTCACTGTGCCCCACGGGTGCCCCTCGGCGGGGGCAGAGCACAGACGTGAGTTCTTATCCATCCTACGAGAACGAGGAGGAAACGTTCCCAAACAAGCTGAGACACTGCTGCTGAAACAGGGATGTGCCCACCTCAGGTTTACCAGCCCCAGTTTATAGATGAGAAGACCAAGGTGCAGAGAGGCCAGTGTGCAGGTGCCTTGCCCAGGGTCAAGCTGAGGCTCTGGTTCAAAGTGTGGGTTTCTGCCTCTGAAGTCTAGTTTCTCTCTAGTGGGCATCTGGGGATGGCGGCGCCCGCGGGGAGCGAAGCACCAGCTGCAGAGGCCGTCGTGCCCAGGCTGGAGCGGCCGCCTGCGGGGCTGTGGTCGGCGCCCACGGGGAGTTCACCCCAGGCCCTCGTCACGCCCCAGGAAGAAAATCAGCAGCCCCCTTAGCGAGATGTGTCCCTTGCGGAGACAGAGACGGCAGTGCAGAGGGAGGGACAGGAGGGGTAGGAGGGGCAGGCTGACTAAGGAGGTGCTGTGAGCTGTCAGACTGCAGGGGGAGTCGGAGCGGGGCAGGGGGAGCAGCCGGAGAGCAGGGGGGACCAGGAGAATGCGGAGGTGAGGAGGAAGGTGCGGGAAGATGGGGAACTGTGTCAGGGGCTCGTCCGGAAGGTGCTAGTCCCGCCTGGAGCTCAGCCTTGTCCTGAGGAGACCCAGCTGGGGAATTGTTCCAAGTGAGGGCCTCAGGGTCAACTCCGTCCTGTGGAAAGCTCATCGGGCAGGAGTGGACAGTCTGCTCATGGTGGCTGGTGCCCTTGACCAGGCTGCGGGAGCACCGAGGCCTGGGACAACCAGACAGCAAATGCCAGCCCGCAGCAGCCTGCTGGCAGCTCACCGTCCTGGGTTTTCTCTGCCTTGGGGCCTTGAGCCCAGAGCGGAGTGTGGGGAGTCATCTGGCAGAATGATGGGGAGTCATCCATCAGGGGAAGAGAGTCAGACTGAGTGCAGGGGGCTCCGGCTTGTGCCCCGCCCCGACTGTCCCTCCCAGGGCCTCTGTGGGTGTCGTCCGGGCCAGGACGGGTGGTGGGGTGGCCACGTGGAGGGTGCACTCCTGTCTCTACCATGGTGTGATCTTTGCACGTTGGGCACTTAGCTTCTCTGCGGTTCCCGTACAGTGAGGAAAACACTGGGTGAGGGAGAAAGGGAGGCTCCAGTAGCTTCTTGCATTTGCACGGGAGCTCGTCTGCCTGAGGTGTTGGTGATGCCACGGGGTGTCACGTCTGCCATGGAAAGACTCGTGCTGCTTAGCCAGTATCCATTTTTGTGCGTATTGTCACCTCCTATATTGTGACAAACATTGTGCGTATTGTCACCTCCTATATTGTGACTGCCAAGTTTGCCTAATCTTTAATTCTTTTGATCTTTTAAAGAACCAGAATGTATGTGTGAACCTGAAGATACTCTACAGACTCACGATGGGCCTTTGTTCCCAGTTGAAGGCAAGGCATTTTATCATAACTCAGGGTTGGCTGGCATTCTTGCTCTCTGTCCCCCAACAGCAGCATTCATTCCCATCCACACTCACAGCATCTTCGAGTGCGCAGGAAACAGAACATTGAGCTCTAAGGCCAAGTTAACTTGCATTTCATTCATAGAAGGATAGTCCAGATGATAAGGCCTGAAGTTTTAAAAATGTTTTCTGTGGGTTAACAATTGTAGCATTTTTAAAAGCCACCAGTTCAACTGGAACATTTCTACTGCTGCAGTTAACATAAAAGCTGAGCATTTATTTTAGTTAATAGTGAGATGGACACAGCTCTACTCAGGGTCTCATTGGGAAGCAGAGGGCATTCGAGGGAATAATCTAGAAGAGTTGAAGGAAGGGGCTGTGTACTGTGGCAAGGCCGGGGGTGAGGGACCCAGCAAGGGACACGGAAGCCTCCAGGGACAGGCACTGGCTGGAAGCATTTCCACCCCAGGCTTGGAGGGTGAGCTGTCACCAGGGCCCCGGGAGAGCAGTAGCCCTGCCGGGGCTGCCGGTCAGGAAGCCGGGCCCCAGAAGCTGTGGCTGCAGGCCGAGGACTGTGGGCTGGTGGATAGGGTCCAGCGGCAGAGAAGCCCCCCTCTCCCCTCCTGCCCCAGATAGGCAAAAACAGCCCGAGAAAGAAGCAGGAGCCAGGTGCTGGCCTGGGGGACGTCCGTCAGCCCTTCCTCGAGGGCAGAGCGCAGGGTGCTGGGCCTGGAAGGGTGGGCAGTGGAGGGCGACCAAGGCCTCTCCGATGGCAGCAGGAGTGGACATACAAGACACAAGCTCTGGTGAGGGCGTGCAGGCGGTCTGAACAAATGCAGAGATGTCGCATACTCTTGGGGGACGTGACCTAATGCAAAGATTTCACCTCTGTCCACATTAATCTATAAAGCCGATGTGAAATCCGATGAAAATTCTAGTTACACTTCTGTGAATTCAGAAAACCTATTCTGAAATGAAAATGGAAGGCTAAGAGTCTAAAAATACCTAAATCACACTTAAAAATGAGAAAGATTAAAGAAAATTGGGAGTGGGGTTTGTCTTCTCTAATATTTCTAAATATCTTTACAAGGTCTTGGTAATAAAATAAGGTACTTGCAGGAAATAGGAGTTTTACTAGGAAGGGAGAGAAGGTGGTGCAGGGGCCGCGTTCACTCCAGGGGCACTCGAGTTCCGCCTCCATGAGATCAAATAGGCTGGTGAGCAGAATGCAGGTGCCAGTAATTTAAAAGTTAAATTGATAATCATTTCTTCCTGTGCAACAGGTTTACGGTTTATGGCAACTATTTTGTACGTTGGAGCTTCCTCTAATACCGATTTTGGCAGGTAAGGTACTGTAAACATGATGGACAGTCATCTTTCTAGAGAATTCTTTTTATTATTATTTTCTTAATGTTTTTTTTTTTTTATTTCTAGAGGGGAGAGAGAGAGAGAGAGAGAGAGAGTGTGTGAGCAGGAGAGGGTCAGAGAGAGAGGGAGTCACAGACTGAAACAGGCTCCAGGCTCTGAGCCGGCAGTCAGCACAGAGCCCGACGCGGGGCTCGAACCCACGAACCGCGAGATCATGACCTGAGCGAAAGTCGGACGCTTAACCGACTAAGCCACCCAGGCGCCCCTCTAGAGAATTCTTTACCTTGTTTGAGAGCAACTCTTTCTGTTTTATTTAGGGATAGGCAGGGTGTCATGTGGGCACTGAGAGGTAGCAAGCCCTTTATTTTCCCTTTCTGTAACAAGAGGGGTTGGACTGCATCACCTCTTGATCTAGAAGGTTCTTTTTTGTTTTTAATTTTTTTAATGTTTATTTCTGAGGAGAGAGAGACAACATGAGTAGAGGAGGGTCAGAGAGAGAGGGAGACACAGAATCTGAAGCAGGCTCCAAGCTCTGAGCTAACTGTCAGCACAGAGCCCGATGCGGGGCTCGAATCCACAAATCGTGAAATCATGACCTGAGCCAAAGTCAGACGCTTAACTGACTGAGCCACCCAGGCGCCCCTAGAAGGTTCTGACATTCAGTCACAGGGATACCTTTTGTACTGAATGGCTTTGCTGGGTGCCTGGCCTGAGAGCAGCGGTGTGGGAGGAGGCCTTCAGCCTGTTGCACGAGGCTGCAGGTGTTTGGGCCCGCCCCCTTGGGAGAGCCCCTAGAAGGGCTGCGGGGGTCTCCTCTGTATGGGCACCCGGGTCCTGCTGGGCACTAGGAGAGCCGAGCCCCTCCCAGGACTCTGCAGCTGGCCTGGCCACTGGCGGCTCCGTTCAGTGTGGCCGGCCAGTGCGTATCCCCACACCCACCGGCTCCACTGCTGGGTCCAAACACTGACCCCAGGTGCTGCCCTATGTCCCTGGCAGGGAGTGAGGCTCACCCTTCATTCTTGAGCCTTTCACAGAAATGATTGATACATACAGTGCCAATTTTATCTGCTTTGGTTTTTGAATCACAGTGATGGAAAGCCACAGCATTCAGGTGAACAGAGAAGAAATGGAGAAGACTTCAGCACTTCTTGCGGTACGTCATTTCAGAGACTTGGTGCCTGTTAGCCTCTTCTGCGTGTGAGCGCTTCCCCCCCTTCTCCTCCCTCCCTCCTTCATGCGGGCCTGTGGATGCCTCCAGTCTCTGACTCCCGCCGGGGAGTACCGCCCCCCGAAGGGGTTCAAGTGAGCAGGACAGCTGGGTGCCTCCCCACGGCGTGTGTGCATGGTTTCGAGGACCTTCTGGCCTTCTCAAAAGTCAGGTTCTTCTCACAAAGACATCCTCCTATCCCGTGGTAAGGCGAATTCATGTGTTCCTTGGATTCTTTAAAAAAGCAAGAACAAAACTTTCTGTCAAAAATAAAAAATACAGAGAGATGCATACAGATGCATGAAAAATGCATTAAAATATTTCACTGAAGTTATTTTAGAGGAAACTCTAGTATAACCATCACCTAGGTCGGAGTGTAGAATTTCCAGAAGCCCTCTGTGTCCTTTCCCTCTCAGAACCTCTCCCTGCTGCACAGAGGAACCTCCATCCTGAGTTTTAGAGTCATTGCATTGTTGCTTTTCTTTGCAGTTTTCCCTCCAGTGCCTAACCTATGGTTTCTTTGGAACTGTACTTTCACGGTGGTGGCTGACATCTGTCCCTTGGCCTCCATGTCCCAGCTTCACTGGCGTCCTGTGTCACTTGGTGCTTGCTTGGTCTTCCATTGCACCCTCTGTTCCACTGTTTTTTTTTTTTTTTTTTTTTTTAATGTTTTTTAATTTATTTCTGAGAGAGAGACAGAGACAGAGATAGCGTGAGAAGGGGAGGGTCACAGAGAGAGGGAGACACAGAATCCGAAACAGGCTCAAGGCTCTGAGCTGTCAGCACAGAGCCCAACGCGGAGCTCAAACCCACGAACCGTGAGATCATGACCTGAGCCGAAGTCGGACGCTTGACCAACTGAGCCACCCAGGTGCCCCTCTGTTCCACTGTTGATAGGGATCTGGCAGTTGCCAGCTTGCAGCCCTTACCAGCCATGCCACACCCTTGGGCACGGCTCCCTGCGGCACAGGCAGGTGGGCTGCTGGGGCCCTGGGACGGGCCTGCCCAGCTTTAATGCTTTCCCAAGTCGCAGCTGCCTGAAGTGCACATGGTCCTGCCGTTGCACACCCTCAGCTGCATGCACACCCTCACCTGCTGCACACCCTCACCTGTGTGGATACCAGACTTTCAGTAGAGGCCATTCTGTTGAGGATGTAATGATACCTCATTATGATTTTGGTTTCTATTTTGCTGATTATTCATGAGATTGAATAGCTTTTCGTATCATCATTGGTTAGTAGAAGTTTCTCTTTGGTGAAAGATCTGTTCATGTTTTTTACCCATTTTGATATGGCAGGTTTTATGGTTTCCTTGCTAATTTATAGGACATCTTGATATGATCTGGTTACAAGCCTGTTCCATATACCTTCTCCCATTCTGTCTTTTTGCCCTCCTAATGGTGTCTTTTGATGAACAAAAGTTCTTAATTATTTTTATTTTTATGTATTTATTTGAAAAAAAAGAGAGAGTGCATGAGCAGGGCAGGGGCAGAGAGAGAGGAGACAGAGAATTCCAAGCAGGCTTTGCACTTGGAGCACAGAGCTGACACGGGGCTCTGCCTCGTGAACCGTGAGATCATGACCTGAGCCAAAGTTGGATGCTTAACCCACTGAGCCACCCAGGCGCCCCAGAAGTTCTTCATTTTTAATGTAATTTGCCAGTCTTTGTCTTCATGAATAGTGCTTTTGTATGCGGTTCGAGAAAGCTTGCCCTATGTCAAGCTCATGAAATATTCTCCTGTGTTCTATCTTAAAGTTATTTTCATTAGCCTTTACATTTAGGTTTATAATCCATCTGGAACTGGCTTTTTTCTTTTTATGTGCTTTTTAATTGAGAAAGAAATTGCTTACAGTAAATAAATATTTTTAATTATTGTGATAAAATACATTTAACATAAAAGTTAACCATCGTAAGCATTTCTAGTTAGAGAGAATAGGGTAGTAAATACATTCACACGGTTGTACAGCCATCACCACCATCCATCCCCAGACCTGCAGGACTGAAGCTACACCCCTGAAGAGGTAACTTCCCGTTCTGCCCCCCCCCCCCCCCCCCCGCCCCGGCTCCTGGCAAACACAGCTATACTTTCTATGATTTGACTACTCCAGGTACTTCATGGAAGTGGAATCATACAGAACCTGTCTTTTTGTCACCGGCTTATCTCACTTGGCCTGATGACCTCAACATTCGTCCCTGTTGTATCAGGTGTCAGAATTTTCTTCCTTTTCGAGGCTGAACAATACTCCATTATACATATATACCACATTTTCTTACCATTCTTCTGCCAATAGACATAAGCAGCTTGGGTCGCTTCCATGTCGTAGCCATTGTGAATGATGCTGCTATAAAAATCAGTGTACAAATATCTCTTTGACACCCTGCTTTTAATTCTTTGGAGTATATACTCCTAAGTGAACTGCTAGATCTTATAATTTTTTTCTTTAAGTTTATTTATTTTTAATTTACATCCAAGTTAGTTAGCATATACTGCAACAGTGATTTCAGGAGTAGATTCCTTAATTTTCCTTACCTGTTTGGCCCATCCCCCCTCCCAGAACCCCTCCAGCAACCCTCTGTTCTCTATATTTAAGAGTCTCTTACATTTTGTCCCTCTCCCTGTTTTTATATTATTTTTGTGTCCCTTCCCTTACATTCATCTGTTTTCTATCTTAAATTCCTCATGTGAGGGAAGTCATATGATATCTGTCCTTCTCTGACTAATTTCGCTTAACACAGTACGCTCCAGTTCCATCTGTCGTTGCAAATGGCAAGATCTCATTCTTTCTGATTGCAGAGTACTACTCCATTGTCCATATATACCATATTTTCTTTATCCATTCATCCATCAATGGACATTTGGGCTCTTTCCATACTTTGACTATTGTCGATAGTGCTGCTATAAACATTGGGGTGCGTGTCCCTTCCAAACAGCACACCTGTATCCCTTGGATAAATACCTAGTAGTGCAATTGCGGGTTCATAGGGTAGTTCTATTAACTTTTTGAGGAACCTCCACACTGTTTTCCAGAGTGGCTGCACCAGTTTGCATTCCCACCAGCAGTGCAAAAGAGAGTCTCTTTCTCCGCATCCTCACCAACATCTGTTGTTGCCTGAGTTGTTAATGTTAGCCATTTTGACAGGTGTGAGGTGGTATCTCATTGTGGTTCTGATTTGTGTTTCCCTGATGATGAGCGATGTTGAGCATCTTTTCATGTGTCTGTTAGCCATCTCGATGTCTAACTAATGGAGAAGTGTCCATTCATGCCTTCTGTCCATTTCGTCACTGGATTATTTGTTTTTTGGGTGTTGAGTTTGATTAGTTCTTTATAGATTTTGGATACTAACCCTTTATCTGATATGTCATTTGCAAATATCTACTCTCATTCCATTGGTTGCCTTTTAGTTTTGCTGATTGTTCCCTTCCCTGTGCAGAACCTTTTTTTTCTTTTTATGAGGTCCCAATAGTTCATTTTTGCTTTTGTTTCTCTTGCCTCTGGAGACAAGTTACATAAGAGTTGCTGCAGCTGAGGTCAGAGAGGTTTTTGCCTGCTTTCTCCTTAATTTTGATGGCTTCCTGTCTTACGTTTAGATCTTTCATCCATTTTGACTTTTTTGTGTGTGTGGTGTAGGAAGGTGGTCCAGGTTCATTTTTCTTCATGTCATTGTCCAGTTTTCCCAGCACCACTTGCTCAAGACACTGTCTTTATTCCATTGGATACTCTTTCCTGCTTTGTCAAAGATTAGTTGGCCATATGTTTGTAGGTCAATTTCTGGGTTCTCTATTCTGTTCCATTAATCTGAGTGTCTGTTTTTGTGCCAGATAATGTAAAAAAATTTTTTTAATGTTTTTTATTTATTTTTGAGAGAGAGAAAAGTGCAAGTGGGGGGAGGGGCAGAGAGAAAGGGAAACACAGAATCTGAAGCAGGCTCCAGTCTCTGAACTGTCAGCACAGAGCCCAATGTGGGGCTTGAACTCACGTACCTGAGCTGAAGTGAATACCCAACTGACCGAGTCACCCACGCTCCCCTGTGCCAGATAATTTTTAATATTTTGAGGAACCACTATACTTTTTCCGCAGTGGCTGTGTCTCCACTCCCAGTAATAGCTCACAAATGTACTTTCTCCACATCCTCAACAACACCTGCTGTTTTCTGGGTTTTTTGTTTTGTTCTGTTTTTATAATAGCCATTCAATGTGTGTGAGGTAGTATCTCATTGTTTTGATTTGTATCCCCCTAATGATCAGTAATGTTGATTAATCATCTTTTCACGTGCTTATTGGCCATCTGTGTATCTTCTTTGGAAAAATGTCTATTCAGATCCTTAGCCCAGTTTTTAATTGGGTTGTTTCTTTTTTCTCTTATTGGGTTTTAGGAATCCTCTATATATTCTGGATAGTAATCCTTTATCATATACATGATTTTTAAATATTTTCTCCGCATTTTATGGGATACCTTTTTATTCTTTTGATAGTGTGTTTCAATCCACAAATTTTTTAAATTTTCATAAAGTCCAATGTAAACTTTTTTCTTAAAAAAATAAAAATTGGGGGCGCCTGGGTGGCTTAGTCGGTTAAGCATCCGACTTTCGCTTAGGTCATGATCTCGCGGTTCGTGGGTTCGAGCCCCGCGTCGGGCTCTGTGCTGACTGCCAGCTCAGAGCCTGGAGCCTGTTTCAGTCTGTGACTCCCTCTCTCTCTGACCCTCCCCTGCTCACGCTGTCTCTCTCTCTCTGCTAGAAATAAATAAAATATTAAAAAAATAAATAAAATAAAATAAAATAAAAATTGTTTCTTTTGTTACCTATGCCATTGTCATATCTAAGAAATCACTGCCAAATCCAGTGTTGTAAAGCTTTTCTACTGTGTTTTCCTCTTAAGTGTTTTGTTTCAGGTCTTACATTAAGTCCTTGGTACATTTTGAGAAAATGTTTGTATATGGTGTGAG